ACCTGCAGGGGCTGAGCGTTGACCCATGCACGCTCTAAGAGGTCGCCGGTTCGATTCCCGGTCAGGGCACATGCCCAGGTTGTGGGCCCGATCCCCAGTGGGGGGCTCATCGATGTTCTCTCTCATCCATGTTTCTGTCTCTCTCTCTCCCTCTCCATTCCTCTCTTTCTAAAATCAATAAAGAAAAAAGTAAATTAATAAAATAAAAAGAGCACCTGATTTGAAGATGCTGGCACGCTACCGAAACGGGATCTGTCACAGCTCCACCAATAACAGGATATCCCCACCTCGCACGCCTTCTTTCGTGTGGCAGCATCAGGACACCCGGGGCCCAAGTGTGGTGTGGCTGGTTAACATCTTGCAGCAAAGGGAGGAAGATGGAACAAGGCCTCCTGTGGACATTTGCTCCACACTATGGGGTTCATGAAGGAAATGGCACCCACACTTCCTCAGTGTTCAGCTAATGGTGCCACCAATGCCTCTGGATGAAGCTGTGTGCTGGTTTCTTATTATGGAATCATGCTTCCTTCCTTAAAAATAATCCTATTTTTGAGCCCCTTTTGGGAACCTGAAGTGTTTTAAGGAATTCAAACTCGTAACTACCTCTATGCCAAGCTAAACTTCAACAGAAAGAACAGTACTAGGCACACACTGGGCACTCACACGATGCAGGAAACACAGGCGAGCAAAACACGTTCCCCGCCCACACAAGGCCAGGGCAGCGAGAACAAGGCACACACAGGCCAGATTACAGGCTGAGGCCCGCGCAAGGACACCAGTGTGCGGCACACCTGCCGTGGGGGACACACGTTGCGCACGGCACCCTGTCCCGGGTTGTGAGGAGTAAAGGGGAATGTCTGCAAAGACCCTGCAGGTGCCCAGCGCGGAGCTGGAAATCCAGGTAAGGGCCCCCCAGACCCGGAGAGGGGAAGCTCCGGCCGCGCTGCGCCCCAGCCACAACGCAAGGACCATGCCCACCCGCCCGGCCCCGCCCCTGATCCCTGGCCCCGCCCCTAGAGCGACCCGAACCTGACATGCCACCGCCCACTCCCTTCGTCCCGCCCTCCCCACTGCAGCCCGGACCCCAGCTCGCCCCGCCTCACCCCGTGACGTCACGACCTCGCCCCGCGCACACCCGTCTCGCACACCGCGCCCCCGCCGCCCCCGCCGCCCCCACCCCAGCACCCCGCTCACCAGCTCGAACCGGTTGTTGACTCGGACGCCCTCCTTCTCTGCGCCCCGGGGGCGCCGGCCACCTGGACCCCGCTTGGGTCCATCTTCTTCCGCATCATCGTCATCACAGAAGCCAAATTGCAGGGCGCCGGGCCCGAGGGGCTCCTGTCCGCGCTGTTCCCCCCTCAGCCTCCGGAGGGCCCGGCGCGACATAGGACCCAACGGCCGCCGAGGTCTGGGGACTGGAAGCGGACAAGCAGCAGAGAGAGCGGCGGACGCGCCTGCGCACTTACGGCGCGCTGGCGCGGGGCTGGCCTGTCGCGTCTGCGCGCTGCGGCTCCCCGGCGCTTCCGCTCTGCTCCGGCGTCATCGGCTAAGCTGCGGGCGTGCCCGGGCGTGTTCTCGCGCGAGTTGCGTGCTCCCGCGGTGGTGTCTCCGAGTCCGCGGAAAGCGTGCCTGCGGCCGCTCGGGGGCTGGGGGCGGGGCTGGGATGGGGCTGGGGGCGGGGCTGGGACGGGGCTAGGGGCGGGGCTGGGACGGGGCTGGGACGGGGCTGGGACGGGGCTAGGGGCGCGGCTAGGGGCGCACAGGCTCCAAGCTTCCCACACCCGGGACCTAGACCCCGCTCTGCGGAGGGACCCGCAGGTGGGCCAGGTGAGGAGGCGGTGCCCGTCGACCGCTGGGGGCGTGAAGGGCCCGGTCCAGGCTCCGCGCGCTGCCGAGACTCGGCCGGCCCCGAGGCTGCGGGCGGCACCTCCGCGCCGAGTAGCCCCTCAAAGCGGAGGATTTCGGACAACCCCGTGGACAGCCTGTGCCGGGCAGACGGACACCGAGTCGTCCTGGCTGTTTGTTGCTGCTGTTGCGCCCCCGGTGGATCTGGGCCTCTAGGTGGAGGCCGTGCTCCGAGTGGAGGCCCGCCGCCCGAACTGCGCGTCCTGACCTCCCGGAGGTTTTTACGATAAAGACGAAGGACCCAGTCCCGCCGGTCTGGCTCAGTGGTTGAGCGTCGACCTGCACCAAGAGGTCCGGGTTGGGTCCGGGTCCGGGCACATGCCCAGGTTGTGGGCCAGGTCCCCAGTGGGGGGCGTGCAGGAGGCGGCCACTCGGTGTTCTCTCTCACCGATGTTTCTGTCTCTGCCTCCCTCTCCCTTCCTCTCTCTCCAAAATAAATAAAGGAAAAAAATGTTAGTAACAATAAAGATGAAGGACCCAGCCCCGCGGGAGTGGCTCAGTGCATTGAGCGACGTCCCATGGACTGACAAGTCCCAGGTGGATTCCCCGTCAGGGCAGGTGCCCGGGTGGATCCCCAGGAGGGGCCATGCAGGAAGCAGCCCATCAGTGTTTCACTCTCACATCGATGTTTCTATCTCTCTCCCTTCCTCTCTATAAAATCAGTAAAAACCTATTTTTAAAAAAGAGAGGACTCAGCCCTAGAAATTCCGAGGTAGGGTATTCACATTATAAAAAGCTCTTCAGAGAATTGAGATGTGCAGGCAGGATTGAGAACCCCTGCACTGCCGTCCAAGTGCAAGGGCAGGATGATTTGGTGTGGGGTGACAAGAGAGGGCAGCCTTGAGCGTAGGGATGGCTGTCACTGTGGGGCCACGCCAGGTGCTAAATTCTCACCTCATCGTGTGAGGTAGGGAATCCCCCTTTTACAGGTAAAGAAAGCGGGACTCAGAGAATAACTGGCCCAGGTAGAATCTTGATTTGCATTCGTGTCTGTTGTTCCACAGTTCATTTGAGGATGGCAAGGATGGCAAAGGGGATGCAGAACAGGGTGTGTGTGTGCATGCCCTTGTGTGCCTGCACCTGGCTGTTTGTCAGCCTGTACTGGTCCCTTGAATCTTGACTTCACACAGGCTAGCACACAGCTGCTGCCTCCATCTCCCCTCAGTCCTACCTGCTCCAGCCACTCCCCCAGAGTCCCCTAGAAACCCCCCTGCCTGCTATCCAGCTACTAAAGGGTTATGCTCAGCACAGGTGGGACCTCCAGGGCACCACCCTGCTGTCCATTCTGATTGTTCAGAGCCAGGCTAGTTGGTAAATAGATTATGTGTCACTCCTGGTCTAGTGGTGTTACCGATTTATGCAGGCTTGTTGCCTCACCTGGGGATGGAAACTTAGGGAGTCAGCCTGGAGTTGCTTTCTGCTTTGCCCTTCACAAGACAGTTCCGTGACACTGAGGGGGGCAACATCCAACCCAACTTGAGTGGCACCTTGAACATGAGTCTCTCCCTGCACCACCAGAAGTTTGGTTGAAAACAGTTTTAGAGGAAGTGACTTTTGTTTGTCAGGATCTAAGATAGGTGAGGGGAGGCAGGGCTTGGCACAATGGGCACTGCACAGGCGCTGTACCCATGGCACTCGGAGGCATGCCCAGCAGCCCTGAGAGTAGCAGGAAGACAGAAGCGCCAGGAACACCCCTCTCGGCTCAGCCTAGCTGTCCAGGATGGGTTTTTATTGTTTTTGTATGGCCTTCAATTTCCAAGGCTTCCTGTGTGGATCAGAACCCAGGTATCCGCCTCTCGGGCGTGTTTCTTTCTTTCTTTTTTTTAATCCTCATCCGAAGACATTTTTCCATTTTTTGTACAGACAGAGTGGGAGGGAGAGAGAGGAAGAGAGAGAGAGGGAAACATCGATGTGAAAGGGACACATCGAGTGGCTGCCACCCGCACGACCAACCAGGGCCGGGGACAAACTGCAATCGAGGTACATGCCCTTAGTGGGAACCGAACCCAGGTCTCTCCGGACTGCAGGTGGACGCTCTAACCGCTGAGCCAAACCGGCCAGGGCTCGGGCGTGTTACTTTACCTGCAGAATTAGAAGGATGACAATGGTGCTTACCTCCCAGGAGCACCTGCTCTTGGAGGTGCCACATAAATGTTGACTTTTTCATTGTTGGCTGTGTCTGGGAGCAACTCCTATCCTCTGTGTTCTGTTTTCTCTCTCTCTTTTCTTTTTTCGTTAATCCTCACCCAAGTATATTTTTCCAGTGATTTTTAGATACAGTGGGAGGGAGGGAGGGAAACATCGACAAGACACGCATCAATTGGTTGCCTCCTGCACGACCCCAACCAGGGTTGGGGATTAAACCTGCAACCCAGGTATGTGCCCTTGACGGAAACCCGTCAGTCCTCGGACTGATGCTCAACCATAGAACCAAACCGACCAGGCTGTTTTGTCATTTTTAAGTCGGAATAATACTGCTCCCTGCTCTAGTTTTGTGTAACAGAATGTCCTGGTCCCTAGTCGATGAAACACTTTCTCCCACAAGCCCATCTGTTACATGTCACCTCCTCCAGGCCCATGTCCATGAGGCAGGCATTAAAGCTTGGTGTCCAGTAGACCTGCATTAACATCCCAGGAAAGCTGAGTATATCTTTAGCCAAATTCCTTAGACACTTTGAGTTCCAGTTTCCTCATCTGCAGGTGGGATGACAACAGAAGCCGCCTCCCAGGTACATTTGGGCAGGCAGGACACACAGGTGTTCCTCCAGCCATTATCCTGAAGAGCAGGGTGGAGGTCCCCCTACCCTGTGAACCCCAAGGGATCTGGGGAATGAGGATAAAGGGTCCCTCAGGCTGGCTGGTGACAGGCAGCAGCTAAGCTGCTGTCTCACATAGGACCAAAGTGCCAGGTTATGAAATTGGGCGTAGAGAATGGGAGTGAGCCAGAGTGCCCTCCTCTCATCCTTATTCTGCCCGGATTGGAGGGGACAAGTGGCCCCTAGGAGCCCAGCTTCCACCCTTAGAGAACATGCCACTGCTGTTGCGGGGTAGTCCGTAGTTCACACTCAGACGGGAGACTGTGAGACCACCTTTATTAGACCAAGAGTGGCCGTGAGTACACATTTACAGGGCTCCTCCCGGTAACAAGACCGAGAGCACGGCAGGGACTTGGCGTTGGGCAGGGAGTGAGCTTCGCCTCAGACCTTCCAAGGGGATGGCCCTGGGACACCTGCCTGGGAGACTCTCAACCACTCAGGCTTCCAAGGACCCTCTGCAGCCCATATCCCTGATGCAGGTGCACAGATGCAAGTAGGGCGCTCCAGTCCACCTGGGGACCAAGGTCTACTTCCAAACCTGGGCGTCTGCCCAAGGAAGGATGGAGAACAAACATGGGAGGGCAGGGTCTTTCCCAGAGCCCCGCCGTCCCCTGCACTGCCTCCAGCCTACTCTTTCTATCCTCTGCCATCCCCACCCAACCCTAGGAGTCCTGAGATGAAACAGCCTTCCCAGAGGGGTCCTGGAAATAAGCCTGACCCCAAATGGACTCTGGGGCCAGGAAACATATATAAATATATAGGCTGTGTATATGTTATATAAATGTATCTCTCTCTATATATATATGTACATGCACATTCAGGAAGCAGGTGGCAGTTGTGCCCCATGACGGGGAGCTCCCAGCCTGGTTCAGAACTGGCCCACCTCCTCCCCAGAGGCCTGGCCCCCTCAGGCCACGTTGAAAAGCTTGCGGCCAGGTGGGCTGGGGTAGCAAGAGCTGTCACTTGAAGTCGAGAGTCCAGGTGTTCGGGATGTAGAGGGACTGGGTCTGGCGGGCGCGGCGAGGAGTAGTGTTGAGGGCATCCACGCTCTTGCGGCTGGAGCGCACCACATCCGCCACGAAGCTGGTGCAGTCGCTGCAGACGTCCTTCAGGACACAGCCGTGGGTGTACATGTGTGGGAACTCCTCCTCCACACTCTGCCACTGGGGCCCCTGCAGGGACCTGGGGGGACAGGGCCGTCAGGGGGGTCTCCTGCTCATTTCTCCAGGTTCACGCCCCCACCCCCTGCAGCAGACATGCAAGATTTTTGGAATGAACATGCCAAACAGAGTGCATCCTGGCACCTCGCCACCCAGCATGGTTTCCATCTCACGCTACTCAGCCCCCAGATATCTGCATCTTGTTTCCTTGGGGTGTCCCAGCAAACAGGACACACCCCCACCCCAGCTCCTGCGTTACCAGCAGTGCCAGCAAAGAGAAAGGCACGCACTGGAAGACATCTCTTCTCTGTGCCGCTGTGGCTTTGGCATTTGCCACCCTCTGAGGACTCTCGAAGCCCAGCGTGTAGACGGGGATGTGTGCAAACTTCCTAGAAGGCATCTTCATCTGTAACAGAGGGTTGTGGGTGGACAAAGGCTTCCCGAGACACAGTCCAGGCACGCGCCCCCCTGCAGCTCTCTGGACCCCACCCCACGCCTGGCATCTGACGACATGTGCCTCCTTCCACAGCTGCTCACCGCAGGCCCAGAGCAGGCGCTGCATCTGATACCTGCAGGCTCCAGGATCGTGCCCTGTGGGCAGCACACGCCTAACACGGATAAGGTGGGAGTTTAGAAGGTGGCGTGATAGAAAGTCAGGGTCTGAAAATAGCGATGAAAATCCCTCTGAAGCGGATTCTTGTTTCTGGGCTGAGGCATGATGGGGTGGCATACTTACGTATGTTATTACCCACTTATCTCTGCACACGTGTGTATGCACACCCCTGAAATGCTATGAAGAGCCTCCAAAAACACTCAAGGAAGTTACGGGGCCAGAAGCTAGGACTGTTGAGGGGAAGGGAAGGGCTTCTTGGCACCACCCTACTAACATGGAATGTTTTTAAAAAACACCTGCAAGGGTCTTTAAAAACTACATAGTCTCAGAAAGTGTAGGAATTGATTCTGCCCGGAAGGAGATGAAAGGTGAAGGTGGTATCTTCTGACAGGAGACTGCAGAGCATCCCAAGACAAGCCATGTCAGGCAGCAGAATACCTGAGACACCTGGGGGCCTTGCTCAGACCCCAACTGAGCCTCACCTTTATGCTGCAGGAAGTGCAGACAGCTCTGGAAGGGAAGAGGAAAAGTGTCAGCCCTGCAGAGGCCCAGGAAAAAACAGCTGCTTCCTGGTGCGGGTCCCACCGCACACTGGCCAGCCAGCCCGCGCTGGTCTTCTGCTGGGCCCCTGGTTCCCGCTGAGGTGTACTTTCATCTGACTCCCATACATTGCTTTTCTTTTCACGTAGTTCTATACCCAAAACATTTCTGCCCCTCTTGGCTTTCTCAGAGCGTCTGGTCTGGAGGTTTTCACACCCTCCACACTTGTGTGTGCCTGAGACGTCTCACCAGAGACCACCTGAGCCAGAGGGACCTTGATGGAGAGGCTCAGTTTCTTTCTTTCTTTTTTTAATCCTTACCCGAGGACATTTTTTGATATTTTGTTCAGATAGAGTGGGAAGGAGGGAGAGACAGATAAATATCGACGTGAGAGGGACACATCGAGTGGTCGCCACTCACACAACCCGATCAGGGCTGGGGACAAACTGCAACCGAGGTACGTAACCTTAGCAGGAACTGAACCCGGGTCTCTCCAGACCGCAGGCCGACGCTCTAACCGCTGAGCCAAACGGGCCAGGGCAAGGCTCAGTTTCAAGCAGGGATTAATATTTTCTATTCCCCACACCTGATTTCAGAAATAAATACTTGTAAACATTTGAACATTAGAATTGTAATTTAGACAAAGGAGTCCTCTCCTCTAAAGCCCAATCCTCAGAGAGGACCCTCTCTAGCAGTACAGTCTTCATTCTCCTGATGTGTGTATATTAACAGAAATGTGCACTCGAAGTAAAAAATGTAATGGGTACTGTACACCCTGTCCTACAGAAATGTAATGGGTACTGTACACCCTGTCCTATACATACTGTACTATACAAACATTATGGGGTACCATACATACTGTCCTATAGAAATGCATAAGGGCCTTCCACATTAGTATAAATTGTTCAAATTCTTTTTGTTGTTGCTAATCCTGAGGATATTTTTCCATTGATATTTAGATAGAGTAGAAGGGAGAAAGAGAGAGAGAGAAAAAAAAAACATCAATGTGAGAGAGATACATTGATTGGCTGCCTCCCGCATGACCCTGAACCGCAACTGAGGTATGTGCCCTTGACCAGAATCGAACCCGCGACTCTTTGGTCCATGGGCCGACCCTCTAACCACTGAGCCAAAGCAGCCAGGGCCCCACATTCATTTTTCAAACAAGGGGCCATGTTCACTTGCATGGATGTCCCATAGTTTGCCACCAACAAACCGCTGGGTTAATTTTACTTTATTTCATTGTATGACTTGAGTCCTTTTGCATTTTTGTAACTTGTTTTATGGCCCAGAATACGGTGTATTTTGGTGACTGTTCCCCGTGAACTTGGAATTGCGTCCTGTTGCTTTCAGGGAGAGCTCTGCACAGGTCAGGCTGGCTGACAGTGGGCCAGAGCTTCTGTAGCCTTTGTTTTTTCTGTCTACAAGTGTATCAGTTGTTGAGAGAAGGATACTGAAGTCTCTAATTACACTTAATCACCTGTTTTCCTTGAAGCTCTATCTGTTTTTGCTCCAGGTACTCTGAATCTCTGTGGTCAGTATAAAATGTTGAGGTTTGTTATTTCCTCCCTTATCTCTGGTAATATTCTCTGCTCTGCAGTCCACTTTGTGTATTATATATCAACTCCCCCTTTCTATAGAAGAGTGTTAGCACGGCACATCCCATCCTTCCCCTTCAACCAATTTGTGCCTCCTTATTTAAAGTACATATCTTGCCCGGCTCAGTGGTTGAGTGTCGTCGACCCTGCACCAAGAGGTCATCAGTTCTATTCCCGGTCAGGGCACATGCCCAGGTTTGGGCCAAATCCCCAGTGGGAGGCCTGCAGGAGGCGGCCAATTGATGTTCTCTCTCATCAATGTTTCTCTCTCTCTCTCTCCCTTCCTCTCTCTTGAAAATCAATAAAGAAAAAAAGTTTTTAAATGAATAAAGTCATGCCTTATAGGCACAGCAGGTCATCTTGCCTTCTTTCATCAGTAGGGAACTGCCCTTTAGTTAGGTTGTTTAGACCATTTGCAGTTAATGTGATTATTGACATAGCTGAGTTTAAATCTGTCATCTGGCTATGTGTGTTCTTTTTGTCTCTCTGTGTTTGGTTCCCTTTTCCTTTTTTCTGCCTTCTGTATTAAGTATTTTTTGTGATTCCATTATATCTTCTCCGTTGACTTATAAGCTATTTCTGTTTTGTTATTTTAGTGGTTGTTTTGGGGTTTATAGTATTCATCCTTAGCTTATCACAATCTACCTTCAAGTAATACGTTACCACTTCATGTCACATACTTCTGATTCCTCCCCTCCCTCGCCTTAATGCTACTGTTCTGATACGTTTCATTTATAAATATGTTATAAGCCCCATGATACATGGTTATTAATTTTTTTCACATGCCTGGTAATCTTTGGATGCCAGACACCTAATTGTACCTTCTTGGGTGCTGGATATGGGTTTACCCTTTACCTTTTAAGGAGTTATAAGAAAATAATCTTACGTGTTTGTCTAAGTAGTTGCTACTTCTATTGGTCTTCATTCCTTTGTGTGGATTCAGATTATCATTTTCTGATTATCATTTTCCTTCTATGTGAAGGACCTCACTTAACCTGTTACAGTGGGGTCCAAAGGTGAAAAATTCTTTTGGCTTTTGTATTTCTGAAAATGTCTTTTACATTTGTCTTTGGTTTTGAAACAGACTCTTGCTTGGTATAGAATTCTAGATCGACAGTGTTTTACTTCCTTCAGTACTTTCAAGACGCTCCACTGTCATCTTGCTTGCATTGTTTTGATGAGAAATCTGCAGTTGTCTTTGTCTTTCCTCTGCACATACCATGTCCTTGTTTGCTGGCTGATTTAAAAAAAATTTTTTTATCACTGGTTTTGATCAATTTAATTAATCTGTGCCTTAGTATGATTTTATTCATTTTTCTTGTGCTTGGGATTCATTGAGTTAGTTTCTCATGGGTTCATATTTTTCATCAATTTTGGAAAACTTTTATTTTTTTTCCTTTATTGATATTAGAGAGAGAGGGAGAGATGGAAACATTGATGAGAGAGAACATCGATTGGCCGCCTCCTGCATGACCCCCCCACACACTGGGGATTGGACCCACAACCTGGGCATGTGCCCTGACTGGGAACTGAACCGGCCACCTCTTGGTGCATGGGTCGATGCTCAACCAGTAAGCCACAGCAGCCAGGCTGGAAAACTTCTTTAGCCATTATTTCTTCAATAACTTTTTCTGTCCCCCATTTGTTCTTTGGGGACTTGAAGTACCCCTATATTAGGCTTCCTGATACTATCCCATTGCTCACTGATGCCTTTTCCATTTTAAGAATTATTTTTCCTCATCTGCCATTAATCTCATCCAGTGTAAATTTCATCTCAAACATTCTAGTTTTCATGCCTAGAGCTTTGATTAGTATTTTCTTTATATCTTCCATGTCTCTAATGTTCTGAACATAAGAAATGCAGTTCAAAACTTTTAATCTCCTTATCTGCTCATTCTTACATCTGTCAGTTCTAAGTGATTTTGACTGATTTTTTCTCATCGTGGGCCCTGGTTTCCTGCTTCTTGACATTGCTGATAATCTTTTCTTGGATACCAAGCATTTTATCTTACTGGGTGGTAGATACTTTTTATTCCTATTCTTTTTTTTTTTTTCTTTTGGTACGTGCCCCTAGCCGCTAGGGCCTCGCAGGAACTGAACCCAGGACTCCATGGTCCTCAGGCCCATGCTCCAACCGCTGAGCCAAACCAGCCAGGGCATTATCTTTTTCTTTTTTATTTTTTATTTTTTATTTTTATTTTTTTTTATTTGTTCAGGTAGAGTGGGAGGGAGAGAGAAGAACAGAGAGAGAGAGAGAAACATCGATGTGAAAGGAACACATCGAGTGGCTGCCACCCGCATGACCAACCAGGGCCAGGGACAAACTGCAACCGAGGTACATGCCCTTAGCGGGAACCGAACCTGGGTCTCTCTGGACCGCAGGCCGACGCTCTAACCGCTGAGCCAAACCGGCCAGGGCTTTATTCCTATTCTTGAGCTCTGTTCTGGGAAGCGATTAAGGTGCTTGAGAATAGTTTGTTCCTTTCAGGTCCTGCTTTTGTGATTTGTTACGTCTGGAGCAAAGCTCAGTCTAGGATCTATCCCCATAATGAGGCATTTCTACCATGATTGGTGGGAGCAGACACTATTCATGACACTGTTCCTGTAAACATTTAGGGGAGGGTCAGTATACTTTTCCTTTAAAGGGTTATACAGTCAATATTTTAGGTGTGGCTGAATGAATAAGGAATAAACAAATAGGTGTGGCTATGTCCCAGTAAAACTGTTCACAAAACAGGCAGTGGCCATGTCCTTCCGGCACCTGTCTCACTCCCAAGGGCTACAGTTGGCCAGTCCCTACTTCAGGATGAGTCTTTCAGAGCCTTCAGAAATGTCCTTTCATGCCCTGGCCGGTTTGGCTCAGCGGTTAGAGTGTCCACCTGCGGTCCGGAGAGGCCCGGGTTCGGTTCCCACTAAGGGCGCGTACCTTGGTTGCAGTTTGTCCCCGGCCCTGGTTGGTCGTGCAAGTGGCAGCCACTCAGTGTGTCCCTTTCACATCGATGTTTCCCTCTCTCTCTCTTCCTCTCTCTCCCTCCCACTCTGTCTGTACAAAAAATGGAAAAATGTCCTCGGATGAGGATTAAAACAAAAACAAACAAACAAACAAAAGAAATGTCCTTTCATGCATTTGCTGATCAATACTCTGCTGAACACTCAAGGGGAGTGAGCTTCTGCATGTCTTTGAAGCTCACTCTCTGGACAGCTCTCCCCCATCTGAAAGGCCTCACTGGGGGACTGCAGTGCCTCGATCCCCTCTGGGGTCTCAGCTCTACCTGCCTGGTTCAGGTGAGCAGTCTGACTCATGACCTAGAAACCCCAGGCAGTTGAGATGATCATGGGGCTAACCCTATATTCTTCCTGTTTGTTGCCTGATATCCAGTGTCTTGAAAACCACTGTTTCATATATTTTTGTTTCTGTTCTCATTTTTTGGTTGTTTCAGGTAGAAGGTGCCTGTTCTGGTACCTGTTACCCCACCTTGGCTGAAAGTGGGAGCCCCTCAGCGATTAGAATTAAAGTTTTTAAATTCTGTTCCTTAGTGGCACTAGCCAGAGTGCAGGACAGGACACCCCCACAATCACAGGAAGTTCTGTCGGGCAGTGCGGACCTAGAGGCTTCTTACCTCCTCCTTCCCATGTTAATTCACAGCCAAGGTGCTTACAGAAGTCTCACCTCTTGCAAAAGAGACAGGTGGGCGGCCAGGAGAATAGTGGGAACTTGGTTCGGCAACAGCAGCAAATCTGTAAGAAAAGGCCTTGTTAGAGACTAATTTTGTCCGAAACTCACCGGGTCCAGTTCCGGCCTCACCAGGCTCCCCCTCAGGGCCCCCGTGTGGCGAGGGGACAGTCCAGGGTCCAGGCTGCCTCACCTTCCCCTTCTTCAGGCTGCTGAAGAGCTCTCTGTTCTGCAGGAACTTCTCCATCTCAGCCTTCACCAGCACACGGCGCACATCCACGACCTCCTCCACGGTCAGCGCCAGGCTCTCTGCGGGGTGGCTGAACTCCTGGGGCGGGAGGGTGCAGGGCTGGTGCTCCCTCAGGCCCTCAAGCACGAGGCCTTTCAGGGGCCCCTCCGCAAGTTCTCTTTCCTGAGGACCCTGACCTCTTCCTGGCCTCTGTCTACCCATGACTCCTCTGCTGGGTCCAGGCAAGGCCTCCCACGACCGAGCCCTGCGCTGCTGTCTGGCCTGCCCCAGCCTTGAAGGCCACATTGCTTATGCTACCCTTCAGCTCGTCCCTACCTTTGTCCTTAGTGCTCCCAGACCTGACATATCTACCTCCCACTTTGTTTCCCACATGCGAACACACCATGACCGATCAAATCTAACAGGGTGCCCAGGCCCCCCTCTCATCCTAGAATCTCCTCCCTGGGAGCTTCCGGCACCTGTCTCACTCCCCGTGCTGGCCCCCCAGGGGCTCTGCACCTGTGGCCTGCAGGCTGAATGTGTCCTACTCTGCATGACTGCCCACCCCTTGGGGCCCTCACGGTGAGCACCAATTCCATCCCCAAGGGCTTAGCATAGAACTGACCTCTCAGAACCTCAGGTCTTCTGTAAGAGGTTGCCACAGAGATGGGAGGTGGAGGGGGTTTTGTTTCAGATTTTCAGTAGATTGTCCTACTTAGGGTTGCTGAGCACATGCGAACACCAGGCTCTAGGGGATAGTTCTCCACTCTGCCCTGAAGCCTCAGGCCCTCTGGCTTCCACTGTCTACTTCTGATAGCCTAGTGGTGCTGTTTATATTTGAAGAGCCCCCTCTAAGCCCTACAGATGTCACACTAACAGCAGATTTGGCCGAGAGATCACGTGCCGTCTCACGCAAAGGGGCCAGCAGCCTGCTGCTCAGACAGGGCCATGAGGTCACAGGTTCTCTGATGTTCGATGGCCACACCTCTCAGAAGGCACTCTCAAGACATTAATTCTTCACAATGGAAAGCAGACAAAATTTCACAGCTGATGAAACCGGAGTGGAGGGAGGGTCAGCAGCACAGTGGCTGACTCGAGACCATCTCACCCCAATAAAATGTTCCCATCACATCATGAAGACTTCAGGGCACAGGGTGTCTGTCTCCTGTGTCCTAACCACAGAGCCGGGTGGAAGAACTCCGTATGGAGGTGTCTGTCCCCTTAGCAAGGTCCTTCTCTTCCAGAGGCCGCCTGCAGTGCTCAGAAGGCCCAGCAGGTGGCAGCAGAGACCACTCCCCAGATGGCAACGCAAACACAGACCCGCCATACCCACTGAAGGCAGCAGACAGGCTCTGAACGCTCTGGGCTGCAGCCTGGTCCCAGGCAGGGGTAAAGAGGAGTCCTCAAGAGGCACCCACCCCAGCCACCCTGGACAGCAATGCCCCTCACTCACCAGCCACCGGTGATTGGCGTCTGGGGCCACAGAGGCCCCTGTCCTGTCCTCTGCGAAGCCCAGGTCACTGTGTCTGGGGGAGCTGGAGTCAGCCTGGGACTGGAAGTTCACAGGGAAGGGACCTAGAGGCAGAGTTTGGAGGCCCTGTTAGGACAACCTGGCAGACATCCTGGTGAGGGAGCTCCCCAGCGGGTGAGGGAGACAGCCTGACAGGCAGCAGGAGCAGGTGGGTGGTTTTATGGGGGAGGTGGGAGTAATCCAGCGGAAGGTCGAGGAGAGAGCGTGTCACCCACGTCCTGGGCCATGCAGCGGTTGGCCCGAGGGGTCCTGAGAGGTCGAGCCTCATGAATGAGCCAACATTGGGAGTCCCACGATGGAGCCATGGCAGCCCCAGTGCTGGCCACGCAGACCAGACGCACTGGCCACGCAGGGCCTTCCTGCTCTGTGGCCCCACTCACTGCATTTCACACCCAGAGGACAGAGGAACACAGGAGCAGAAGGCAGACTGGCCTCCACCATGGGGTCTGAGCCTCGAGGACAGTTTGGGGGGCAGTAAGGTAGGGCCTGGACCTCTTCACACCAGGAAGCAAGTCGTAACTGCCCAGTGGGGACCATCCTGAAAGGGGTCACCTGCCACAGCGAGTCTGAGGGTGGACAAGGGGGTCATGTCTGGTGGGGTGCAACCCCATGTCCTGCTAGCACTTTGTGGAGCACAGCCCGTACAATGGTGGGGCTAACTGCGTGGCCACTGGAATCGATCTGTCCTCTGTGCTGACCAACGGGGAGGAGGAGGCTCTCGAGAAACTGGGTGACAGGTCGAGTGGCATGTGCTGCACCACCCGTCCGGTCCACTGTGGACACATTGCCATCGACAGAACAAAACCGAAGGGCCTGTCAATCCTCTACTCACTATCCATCCATTTGTCCACCCATCTATCCATCCATCCTCCAACCATCATCTGTCCATCTGTCCAGCTTTCTTTCTCTATACCAATATACTAATAGTAATTATCTCTAGGTAATGGGCTCATGGGAATTTTTAAAGAGTCTTTTTAAAGTGTTTCACAATGAATGTAGGTTACTAAGTTTTCAAGTTTAAAAAGTGGGGTGTGCCAGCCAGAACCGAAGCAGGCAGTCGGGCTTGGACATAAAACAGTCTTCTTGCAGGACGAGCTCCCTGCACCTGTAGGTGCTGCCTGCCCAGGAAGACAGGGGACCCAGGCCAAGGACACAGCACCCACAAGACAGGGCCGGGGGAGAGGTGGCACTTGCCCGGCTCCTGGGTGCTCGGCCGCCAGGCGCGCATGCTGCCTGCACGGGCCCGAGATGGCTCCGAGCCTCCTGGGGGCTGAGTGGCCGGCTGCAGGCCAGAGGCTGCTTCAGTCCGCAGCTGGACAAGGTCGTGCTCTGAGAAAGAGCGGTCCCGCTTCAGGGTCACCTCCCCACACGGAGACTCTTCCTCCTGCAGACACACCAGACCCAGCCCTGCCCTCAGCACTCTGCCCACCAGCCCCTCCCACCCATCCCTGGACTGAGGCACAGGCCTTGGGTACTGCCTGGTCCAGAGGCCACAGGGCCATCCTCCACCCACTGCCCAGCCTGACCATCCTCTGCACAGTGGAAAACAAGTGCTCCCCAAACCAAACAGCTCCCTGCACCTCTGGAAAGTATGGAGAGATCTGGTGTCAGGTGGAGCCCACTGACGTGGCCACCACCCTGGTCTTCCTGGCTCACAGGGCATCAGGACAGGATGGGGAACCACACTGGGGCACGCTGGCTTTTCACATCAACCAGGGGGTTGCTCAGCCTCCCGGTCCCCAGATGGCAGCCCTTTTTGTGCTATGGGAATGGGGGAGGGGGGCTCAAGGCCACTGTCCCTGTCGCCCTCTGAGTCCTGCCCTGCTGGCTCCCAGGGCAGACATCAGCGTCAGCAGAGGGTGATGCAAGCCCTGAGCAGTGGACACCCACATGGCTGGACGCTGCAGCTGGATTAGCTTGGCCCCCTCTCAGGGCCAGTCCCTCCTGCCCCCCCTGGTGTCTTCTCAGGAGCCTGTGGGGTCTGACCTCAGACGTGTTCATCTCCTCCATCTCTGCCAAGGTGGGCGCCTTGAGCAGGACCCGGGGCCGTGGGCGTTGGGCGCAGCTCCCGGCATCCGTAACGGACAGGTTGATGCAGGAAGTGGACTTGCTATCCCCTGAGCAAGCATTGAGGATGCAGGGCAGGGAGCCGAAACCTGGGGGAGGCCGGGTGGGGCCGGACAGGATGTGAGGGAAGGACTGGGAGTGGGGGAGGGGCTGGGAAGGACCGGGCATCCCTGGCTCACCCCTGCCACCCCAGCGCTCTGCCCCCACGGGGCGCAGCCTCCGCTCCTGCTTGATCTCCTCCAGGATCCTCTCGTGCAGGGTCCTCTGCTTCTGGGGGAGAGGGCGGAGCCTTCTCTCTGAGACCTGCAGGGGTGCGGCAGTATGGGGTAGGAGGGGCGGGGCCGCTGGGGAGACCCCCGGGGACCACCAGGTGCCCACACAGCACGGAGCCAACGGCTGGCCAGTGAGCTCCTGGGACACGTCCATTGAGACCAACCCTTGGCACCTCCCTCAGCAGAGACTCCAAGCTGCCCTCTGGCCCGGAGGGAGGCCCAGAAGGGGGGGCCCAGAGCTGACACCTGTTTCAGTGGGGGCCGCGAGCGGATGAAGTCCAGGATGAGCTCGTGGGCATCCTTCTTCACCCTGGGAGGGATGTCCCCATCAACCTGTGGGGAGGGTGAGCAGGCTGAGGGCCTGAGACCCCTCAGGGGGGTCAGCTGGGGCCAGGGTGTGGAAGGACCTCATTCAACCCCGAGCAGGGCCCGGTCCTCATATCCTCCCCCTGTGGAGGCTGCTGTGTGGCCTTCAAGGCACCACCACGAGCTTCCCAGCATCTGGGGTTCTTCATGTGAAAATGGGGGGGTGACACCCACCTCACAGGGTCATAAGAAGGAGAGGAATTTGCACATCTAAGATTCTCAGAGTGGGGCCAGCACCCGGCGGGCTACAGGAGCAGTCCAGAGCCCGCCACCTCCCGTCCCTGCCCTGGCGCACCGTGTGAGCCGCTGGGACGCCCAGCTCAGCGGCCAGCACGCGGCAGGGCCCAGCTCACCATGACCTTGCGCAGCTTGTAGTTCCTGGCACGGATGTCCTGCATCAGCATCTCGAAGGGGGTGAGCTGGAACTCGGTGGGCAGCGGGTTGAACTCCTGCTCCTGCACCTTCTTGAGCTTCACTCCGTGGCGGAGCTCCCGCATGAGCTGCACCCAAAGTCGGGCCTGGGCCCCGAGAACGTGAGAGTGACCCTCAGCCCGAGCCGCGTTCCTGGGCCCTCCAGCACAGGTCCTCGGGGTCCCGGGTCGGGGCGCCACGTCTTACCCAGTCCGTGTGCCCCAGGTTGTCAAGCTCCGCCAGGGGCTGGTCTGCCTGCGGCTCGTCCTCCCGCAGCTTCTGCAGCATCTGTCAGTCCAGAAGGTACGGAAGGCAGCTCAGGGTGCGGGCACCTGTTGGCCATCACCTGGGGCATGTCCTTACCACATGGGCTACTACTCCACCAGCGAAACAAGGGCCAAAGCTTTGGGACTCAGAACGACATCTGGGGAAACATCGCCCTCTCTGGAGCTTCTCCTGGGCAAGGCGGGGCGAGAGCAGAGCCTTCCATCCACAGAGCCTTCGCTCACCTGATCGACACACCGCCGCGAGGCCCAGGGCCCTGCACCGATGGCGGGGAGCCCCGCTGCTCCGCCTCTGGGAACCCAGCTAAGGTTCTACACTGACCTGCTTCCTCAACTGTCTGCACTATGAGCTCCACGAGGCCAGACCACATCGCCTGTTTTTGTTCCTCACATGGGTGTTCCTGTCTTCCTGCACAGAGTGGCACATGCTAGGTCTTACGTATTGGCTGAATGAATGAACGGATGATAGATGGACACGTGTATGGGGGGTGGATGGGTGGATGGGTAGGAGGACGGGTGAGGGTGAATTTCTCAGCAAGTCCTGGGAAACAATCACAGGTATGTATTTTATGAACTGGGAAATGCGACCACGATGGCCAGGGCCTAAGGAGGACACCAGGGAGTATGAGATAAATACTATGCTGAGAATGTGGGAAGAAGCTGCTGGATTTGCTGCTTCCATTGTCCTGGATCTTGGCAGCATCTGGGGCCTCTGTTCTCCCCAGCTCCCCCACCCTGGAGAAGCATCTGCCTTTTTGCACACAGCCCCTCCTCCAACGAAGACAGAACCGGTTTCCCTGGCTTTAGCCCCAAGTCACTTGCCAAATTGCTCTACAAAACGTTGCCAAGTCTCTGAGAAGCACAGGTGTGTGATCCTAAAAATAGACCTGTGTGTGACCTGGTGGTCCCTGTGGGCAAAGGGCATGGAGGTTTGTCTCCTGTCCTTCCTGGAGTACACACACCTGTCCCTGAGCAGCCTGTGCCTGCCAGAGATGCCCGCCTCGCTGTGTCCCACTGACAGACCCTCCTCGCAGTCCCTCCACCACCTAGATTCCCCGAACTTCTCATGGGTCAGCTGAAATCTAGAGCTTTTTTTTTTTATCCTCACCTGAGGACATTTTTCCATTTTCTGTTCAGATAGAGAGGGAGGGAGGAAGGGAGAGAGAGAGGGAAAGAGACATCGACGTGAAAGGGACACATCGAGTGGCTGCCACCCGTACAACCCAACCAGGGCCGGGGACAAACTGCAACCGAGGCATGCGCCCCCAGCGGGAACCGAACCCAGGTCTCTCTGGACCGCAGGTGGATGCTCTAACCGCTGAGCCAAACTGGCCAGGGCAAATCTAGAGCTTTGTTTTGCTCCTGCTAAAGAAAGAGCTTCCGTCGTCTGGGTCAGGAGTTGAACTTAGCAGAACGATGCCTCAGAGCCTCCACTAACCGGAGCGTTAGAAGGACACGTCTGAGATGCAGAGAGGGAAGGGATGCCTGTGGAGACTGACAGGGCCCAAGGAACCACCCAACCTTGGGCTACTGAGTGGGCTGCAGACAAGGGCAAGAGGCTCCAGTAGCGACTCTCACTTCTTGGTTAGAGGAAAAGAGAGACAGCACCCTCAGCGGTCAGGGTGGAAACAGGATCAGCATCAGTCAATTCCGAAAATACTTTCTGTGCCCAGCCGGTGTGGCTCAGTGGTTGAGCGTCGACCCTGCACCAAGAGGTTGTCAGTTTGATTCCCGGTCAGGGCACATGCCCAGGTTGTGGGCCAAATCCCCAGTGGGGGGCGTTCAGGAGGCAGCCAATTGATGTTCTCTCTCATCGATGTTTCTATCTCTCTCTACCTCTCCCTTCCTCTCTCTCTAAAGTCAATAAAGAAAAAAAAATTTTTTTTTAAACCGAAAGCAAAAATACTTTCTGCCACTTATACAAGAGAAGGGAGCAAATTCCCCCCTGACTTCTTCAAAGTGTCCATTTTCTCATCTTTGAGATGCTAATGGGAAGCAGGGGTCTCTGTGTGCCCAGACCCCCATTTCAAGGAAACATCTGTTTCCTCCAAGGCGGGGAGAGTTGAGAGGAACAGTGTCAGCTCCTAACTCTGAGACCACCAGGGGGCAGGGCAGTGCTGGGTGGGGGTGGAGAACACCAGCTTGGGAGCCAGCTCAGGACGGAGCTCTGTCCTGTATTCTCTCTGTGACTTGGGGTAAGGACACAGCCTCTCAGAGCCTCCCAGCTGCTCTTCTGCAAAATGGGGACAACCAGCAGGGCTGTGGGGAGCACCATGGGAGCGTCACGGGCAAGGCAAACGGCTGGGCCGGCACCCAGCTCGCGTTTGCCCACCGGCCCCAAGCTCCACGCAGAGCACCTCTGGGGGTCCTGGGCTGCAGGGAGGAGGGGCTGACTTCAGCATCGTGTCTTCAGAAGAACCAGCACCTGTCCAGATTAGCCGGAGGTAGGCTGATATAACTCAGAGGAGACAGGGGTGGGGTCATGAAGACGCTGACAGCCTTTCACTTAGCCTCCCTGAGCCTCAGTTCCCTCCTGTGCAGAACTAGGTAGGAAGGTGTGAGGGTTCCATTAAAACCTACAAAGCATTTAGGTCAGCACCGGAACAGAGTGGATTTCCACTCCCTGTTGGACGGACAGAGGGACACACAGAGGAGCTGATGGCCATGCCCTGAGGACCTCCCTGCAACCAAGACAGAGCCTCGGACCCTCCTGCCTCCTCTGGCGACCCCTCCCATTGGCTCACCACCTACTGATACAGCCCCCCACCCTGCCCCTGGCCGCTCCATCCACCTCGCCCCTCCTTGCACACCGCCCTCTGCTTTACCTCCTTGGCCTCTCGGACCCTGGCGAGGAAGGCCCGCAGCTCCAGCGTCTCCACGAAGAGCGCCCGGCACACAGCCTGGTAGTGGGCCTGTGCGCCCCGGGGGTCCGTCAGGCGCAGCGCGCAAAGCCGCATGGCCTGCGCGAAGGTGCGCACGGCGCGGGGTGCGCCCTCCGCCTCTTCCTCCTCCTCAGGGCCCCCATAGCCCTCATCAGCCGTCCCGCAGCCGCCGTCATCACAGTCGCTGTTAGCCATCAGGTCGATGAGCCGCTCCAGCTGCGGGCTGAGCTCCCGCTCCTCGCTCTCGTCCAGACCCCAGTCCAGCGCGCGGTAGATGGCGAAGCCCAGCGACTGCACCATCTACGAGAGAGATCCAGTCACGGGGGCGGCCCCAGGAAGCAGGGGGACCACCAGGGGTGGGACCGTGGACTGGGCCTGAATTACAGGCTAATAGTGCAATAGAACAGGCAGCGTCATTCACAGGGGGTATGCCATGGGACCACCAGAACAAGGCACAAGGATGGCTGGGGTGCTCCCCAAACGGCACAGCCACTGTGGAAAACACTGCCAATTCTTACAATCAAACATGCATTTACCATGTGACTGCAGCTTGTCTCTCAGATATTTATTTTTGTTAAACATTTTTTTTTTCCTTTACTGATCTTAGAAACAGAGAGGGAAAGAGAGATACAAACATCGATAAGAGAGAACATCCACTGGCCATCTCCTGCACGCTCCCCACTGGGGATTTGGCCCACAACCTGGGCGTGTGCCCTGACTGGGAATTGAACCAGCGACCTCTTGGTGCATGGGTCAGTGCTCAACCACAGAGACACACTGGCCGGGCTGTTTCTCGGATATTTAATCAAGAGGAAAGAAAACAAGCATCCACAAAGCCTTGTCCTGGAATACCCAAGGCGCCCAGGCCTGGATGTCCAAATGTCTCCCACTGGTGGGTGGCACACAAATGTGGCCCATCTTGTAGTGGAAATCAAGACAGCTGTTCACAGGCGTGAGTCACTGCCTATGTCTCACACTCTAAACACAGAGTGGGGGCAGTTCATGTTGTACAGTTCCCTTCATAAAGATAAGTCTCATCTTTAGCCGCAAAAAGCAGGTCAGTGGTTCTGACCCGGGACTGGGCGGGGGACTAGATGGGGGCAGGAACTTCGAGTGATGGAAGAGGTCTGTGTCCTTGTGGTGAAAGGGTAGATACATTTGTCAGAAACTGCTGAACTCAAGTATAAAGTGTATCTTCCAAAATCTGATTACAAAAGACAGAAACACCCTAATTAAATGTTATCTCTTAATGTAATATAACAGTATATTGAAAATCTGAGGAGAAAGACCAGCTTATTCAATATATACCTGCTGAAATAAATTGCTTAACTATGCATGACAAAGTCTGGCACTTGAACTCATAAAAAATGACCTCCTCATTTAAGTATTTTAAACTGCACGTAAAGTTCAGTGTGTATAAATTTTGCCTGAAAAAGAAAAGCCTAAGAAATAATTGTACTTGTGCCCTGGCTGGTTTGGCTCAAACCAAAAACTGAAGTTGTCATGGGTTCGATTTCGGTCAAGAACATGTACCTGGGCTGCGGGTTCAATCCCCGGCCCTGGCAGGGGTCCTGTGGGAGGCAACCAATTGATGTGTCTCTCTCACATGGATGTGTTCTCTCTCTCTCTCTCTCTCTCTCTCTCTCTCCCCCCCACTTCCTCTCTCCCTCCCATCTATTCTATCGAAAAAAAAAAAAAAAATTGACCTGGCCAGTTTGGCTCAGCGGTTAGACCGTCAACCTGCGGACCAGAGAATCCCGGGTTTGGTTGCTGCTAAGGGCACGTGCCTTGGTTGCAGTTTGTCCCCGGCCCAGGTTGGGCTCATGTGGGTGGCAACCAGTTGATGTGTCTCTCCCATGTCAGTGTTTCTCTCTCTCTCTTCCTCCCTCTCTCCCTCCTGCTCTACCTGAGGATAAATGCAAAAATATCCTCGGGTGAGGATAAAAAAACAACAACAACAAAACAAAATAAAAAAAGAAAATCAATGGAAAAATATCCTCAAGTGAGGATTAACAAAAAAAAATTATAATAACAAAGAAAGAAAGAAGTAATCGTACTTGTAACTGGTTGTAATTGTCAGAGCCCTGAGCCAGAACCCACAGTGCTGTTCTGCTTGCCTCATATACGTTTGAAATTCTCCATAATAAGTTTTTTTTTAAGTGCATTAGCACATTAAAAATCCGTGAGTTGCCCAGTTGGTGTGGCTCAGTGGTTGAGCATTGACCCTGCACCAAGAGGTCCTTGGTTCGAGCCCCAGTCAGGGCACATGCCCAGGTTGTGGGCCCGATCCCCAGTGAGGGGCGTGCAGGAGGCGGCCAGTCGATGTTCTCTCTCATTGATGTTTCCATCTCTCTCTCTCTCCCTCTCCCTTCCTCTCTCTAAAATCAAGAAAGAAAAAAACAATCCATGAGTCTTGCAGTAGAGAGAAGTCTTAACTCAGCATGTCTCAATTTTTCTTGGCAGGGAACGCCATTTAATGGACCACCACTGACATCTGCAGAGCCAGTGTTCCGTGGGGCACGTTCTTGTGTCCAAATGCTGCCTGCACCCCGTTCCCTGCTCGACAGGGAAGCACCACGCTGGAGGAGGGTGGGCGATGGCCAAGGCGGGGGTGGGGGATAATCATAAGGACTCTGCTTCCGGTTGGCACAGCAGTGTTTTTGTTTTAAACGGCTTTCGTGTTTTCCCTTTATGACAGTGATACAAAAGACACAAAAGGACAGCAGGTCTGCTTGTGTTAGGTGCTGCACTGAGCTCTGCCACCCAACCTTGCAGCAATGCACCCGGTCACCTCGCGCGGCACAGCGAGGGCACAGAAGCACAGATGTCAGGTCCCTTGACCGCAGCTAGCAGCTGGCTGAGCTGGACTTGAGACCCGGGTCTGTCCATGGCCTGTGTGGAAGGCTGCTTGGCGGCAGGTGGAGCCAGGCCCCCTCGGGGACACCTTCCCCTCCCCCGACCACCCAGCCACAGAGGGTCCCCTGGCCTCTCCCCTCATTCCTGCAGAGCTGAAGGACAGGTGGTGAGTGCCAGCACTGGGCAGGGGGCAGAGTGTAAGAACAGGGCTCTCTGTCCTGCAGACGTGACTTAGCAAACACCCTGAACACGGAGGGGCCTGTGGGCTCAGCGGGGCTCAGCTCAGCGGCTGGTAGGAAGCGAAGGCCCCAGCCTGCAGGCAGCAGAGCCCCGGCCCGTCCGTGGAGGCTGCCTCACCTCTGCTTTAAGCGGGCGAGGTCCCAGACCCAGCCTGAGTCATACCCTGGAACCGTGTGTCCAAGGGCAGAGCCCAAGGCCTGAAGGCTGCTGCCACCTGCCAGGTAACTGCAGACCCTGGCCGGGGAGGAGGAGCCGCCGGGGCAGTGGGCAAGAGCCCCTCATGCCCCTGAGGACAGCGGGAGGGCAGGAGCCCCTGCTAACACCTTCTCCCATCAGGTCTCTCTTGGCCCAGACACAGGTGCCAGGACGGAGATGGTGGTGGGCACAGACCTCACACCCGCCCTGGGTCTGCCCCACAGGCCCTGCCGACCCGAGCGGTGGCTCCAACCAGGTCTGTCCAATGGGGACCACTCTGCCACAGGAGGCAGGACAGAGGGGTGAAACAGGAAAGCCCTCAACCCCAATGCAGCACAGCACCCCCCCCCCCCCGGCCTCATGCTTCTGCCTCTCTCTGCAGGCCACTGGCCTCAGCTAGCGCCATGTCAATGAAAGGGTTAACTCCATGCAAGCCTCTTATCTGATAACTGCTCCTAAAAGCTTCTCTGTGCCCCACACACCTGGAAGGCAGGCACTTGCTTTTCCACAAGGAGAAATCTGGGCAGCGGGCCAGAGTCCCAGGACCTCCAGCCCTGCCTGCGGGCGGCGGGCCAGCCAGGGTCCAGCCCAGTAACGGAAGGAGCCACAAAGAAGGAGCTGAAGTTGCAGGCTGGCCCCCACTAGGAGCCACAGTGAGAATCTAGGCCAACAAGACGAGTGTGTCCCTTGCCACATTTCCTGGGGTGGGGTATCAGGTTGATTTACAGGCCCCCAGCACAACAGTTCCGATCAGACCCCCACCTACAAGGTTCCTTGTAAGTAGCTTCAGAATTAAGAGCAGGGGTCCTCCTTGGCGATGGCAGGTGTAAACAGCAGGGACAGCCTGGGGACACGCCCAAGAGGCAGGGCAGCATCCTGGGCTGTGGATAAGTAAGTGACCCCGAGTATCATGCAGCGGTCAAGGAGACCCACAGCCATGCAAAGCGGTGAGGGTGAGTCTTGAAAACATTGTTTCTTGCCCCCAAATTCTAGAAAACTACACAGGGCGGGGCAAAGTAGGTTCACAGTTGTTTGTGTGGAAAATAACACAATGATTAGTAAATAACAACACAAGTGTGAACTCTGCACTCACAAGTGTGAACATACTTTTGTCCCAGCCGGTACATCACGCAGTGCTCACAGCAACCCTGCAACGCGGTGTTGACACGGCCGAGGGAGGACCTAGTCATTGGCTTGATTAGGAATTGCAGCAGCTTTGGGGTGGATTTGCTATTGTTTTTAGATTCTGCATAACAGAGGATATAGCCTTGGCCTGTGCCCAACCCCCCTTAGTATTATCCCGTATTTAATATATAAATGTGAACTTCTATAAAACTGTTTTTTAAAAGACAGTGGAATGATAAACATCAAATTCAGGACGAATTACCTGGGGACAGGTGAGTGGGAGATACAGGGAAAAGTTCTGCTGCCGAGGTCTGAGTTCTGGGGGGGGTACTAGTTTTCCTCCGTGACCCCTGACCCACACCCTGCCCAACACCCTGGGCCCAGGGTGCCCACCCCATACCCTCACATCACCTTTGCTCCCTCGGGGGGTCGAAGAAGAGAAGGGGTCAGTTATCGTGGCTTCATCCTCCCTTTAGGGCCATCAAGGCTCACTGGGGTCCACACCCCCCGAGGGGACTGTCTCTCCCCCGCCCACCCTCTGGGAATAATCTGTTCATCAGGTCCCATTAATTAAGCCCTTGGAGAATTGTATCTATCCTGCCCCACAGAAACAATGGTATAATTTACATGTTTTCTAATTTACATTATATGATACATGTAGATTTTATTTTATTTTATTTTATTCTCACCTGAGGACATTTTTCCATTTTTTTTTCTCAGATGGAGTGGGAGGGCGAGAGAGGATGAGAGAGAGAGAGAGAGAAACATCGATGTGAAAGGGACACATCGAGTGGCTGCCACCCGCATGACCAACCAGGGCCGGGGACAGACTGCAACCGAGGTACATGCCCTTAGCGGGAACTGAACCCGGGTCTCTCTGGACCACAGGCTGACGCTCTAACCACTGAGCCAAACTGGCCAGGGCAATACATGTACATTTTAATATACATCAAGTAAACTTAAAAATTGTTTTAAAAGTACCTGGGCTTCCGAGCTGGCCGGTGACACCACCATTGTTGTGGGCTCTGCAGAAGAGAGAAGCAGTCAGGACACCTCACACCCCGGACCTGAGAATGGGGCCGCCCAGCCACCTTCCCCCCCAGGAACAGACAGCGGATCCCCCAAACTCTCCATCACGACGCCAGGGAGCCCACAGCGGCAGAGCCACTGGTCATTCGGACAGATGCCTACAACACCGGCTGTGGGCTGGACGCCCTGGTGTGGGGCCAGGATGGCCATTTGGCCCCTCACACAGCCAAGCGCCAGCAGCCGGGCTGGGGAAACAGCAGCACCACCGCTCTGGACTTCGGCATTTCCCCAGACTGTCCACACCTGTGTCACCGCCAGAGCCTCCAGGGGAAGCTGGGTGCTAAGCTGGGCTCTGTCCTTTATGTGACTCACAAAACACGGCACTGAGTTAGCATGTTGACACGTGGCCACTAATGTAGCCCATAACAACCTGGGAGGTGGGTGCTTCTGGTACCCTGTGCACAGGTAAGGACACGGGCCCAGAGGGATGCCACAGCTAGTAAGGGGTGTGGTGCAGGGGACCCCTGACTCTGAGCTTCCCGCTCCTGAGATGCCCCAGGGCCTCCCAAGATGCTGGGCTGGGTGACACCGGACCCAGTGCTCCTGCAGACGGTCTCGAACTCCGCAGGTAGAGCTGCACATGGTGTGAGCTTCAGCTGCCTTAAATTCCTTCCGGAATGAGGTGGGATATAAAAACACAGACCATGAAATTGTCTGCTAAGTGAACCTGCTAACTAGGCAAATATTTTCAAAATGCCATCAAGCCCCAGGAAGATTGCCAAGATAAAGGAACCTTGTGTTGGGCTGATTCACTGAAATAATGGAAAACATCCACCCCAGCGTCCGTGGGGTTAAAACAGGGAGCAGCCAGCCACAGACGGCGGCCCGCGCTGGGGTTCAGTAACAGTTTGTAGCTGCGACTGGCCGGAGGCTGGGGAAGAAATCGGACTCAGAACGAAGGTGCCTCCTGGAGGAGACCAGGGCGCCGAGTATCCTGAGGACCAAAAAGGGGGTGCAGCCAGCCTTCGGGGCTCCTTATAAACTGAGCCCATCCTTCGACCAACTGGAAGCTTTCTGGTTGGAATAATTTTAATGTGTTTGTCCCCGGCTAAAATAGTCCACATGTTAACATAAGCAAGCGCTCATGAGTCTAAGTGTGTATCAACTTGCAAGAACTTGGGGAGTCTGGGTTTTGATGAACAAGCTGCCCCTCGGTGAGGTTTGGGGCAATGAGGCGATGCCCAGCTCTCTGCACAGAGCCCGAAACACCACCTCGTGGAGGGTGGTACCATGACTCCCTCTTTACAGATGAGGAAACCGAGGCTCAGGCAGATTGAGAAGTGTAACCAAGACCACAGAGCTAATCAATGGCTGCGCTGGGACCCCGACACCAAGCACTGCCACCCTCGTACCCCACCCAGAACGCCCAGGTATAACTGAGTGGACCATCACACAGCATTGCGTGAAGGACCATATGCTTATTTAGGGAATTATCTCAGGGCAGAGCAGAGGACCCAGGCAGAGGCAGATGCAGCAGCTGGGACCGAGGGGCCGATGCCACATTGAGGTGGTGCTGGACCCAGGAGCGGGGACACCTGGTGCCCTCACCTCTCTGTCCCTGGAGGGACGCACGCCCTTGCCAAGGTGTACTGGAGAAGTAAGCCTGACCGGTTTCCTTTGTATGAAATAACAAATGAGGAGACATCAAGAAGCTATGGAGTTTTCTTTGAAGTGATCCTCTGTCATAGCAGCAGGAGATAAGTCTATTTAGAGAGGTCTGTGGGGACTGCGGCCTGGGGTTCCCTAGAGCAGCTTCAAGAGGAAGTACCTGCCTGGCGGGCGGGTGGTGGGAGGGGGGTCACCTGGCAGCCTCAGCCCCCATCTGTCGGGGTGGTGGGGTGGCAGGGGAGTAAGGAGCACTGTTCAGGCCAGGTTCCTACCCACCTCTGCCCCCTGTGGTTGTGGCTCTGGGGTCTCGCCTGCCTGACCTCATCGCCTCACCTGCAGGCTGAGATGACACCTGCCAACCTAACTCAAAGAACAAGCGACGTAAGGAGGGCAGACCCTTCCTGGGACACGATGCCCTGCCAGGATGTGGAGAGTGTGACCAGCGTGATGATGATGGCGGCAGAGCCACCAGGGCCTCCTGCCCAGGGCTGCTTAGGCTTGGGGTCAGGGCCGGCAATGGCCTTGCGGGAGCCCCACCCATCTGGAGAGGCTGACCGCAGCCGGGGCTACACAGGCTCCCCCAGGCTGGACCCCCGGGGTCTTAAATACTGACAGTGACTGAAGACAACTATGGCAGAGCAGCCTCAAGCCCAGCGGCCACAGCAGCAGGACAGACGGAGGCCATGCCGGCTAGAGGGACATGGCCCTCTCCCACTCAGAGCTGGTGGCAGATGACAACCCCAAGGACAGCAGCCTGCCACACCTCCCAGAATTACAGCTGGCCTCTGACTTGGCCGGTGACACCTACAGCCACACCTGGCTGCGTCCTTCCTCACAGCGAAACACTACAAACACACAGAGGACCCCGGGCAGCCACTAAGAAGGAGGAGGCGTCCGTTGTAATGGGACAAGCTGAGCACCCTTTCAAGGGAAGTCGCAGAGGGTGCCCTCTGTATTTGGAGGGTGTGTATACCGGCCTTCTGCCAGGAGGAGGCTCTAACTGTGTTCCCGTCACACTGTGAATTTGGAGCCTTTGATGTGATGTGGGATCAAGAAACTAATTTCTGTGTGAGAGGGAGCAGGGGACAGCGCAGCGTCACCTCCCCAAGCACCGCTACAGCTAGCCTCTGCAGGGGAGCAGGGCTTGGGGTCGGACAACCTGCGTGCTGTAGCGCGACACCCTCCGCGGAGCCTCCTCTTACAAAACACAGCCTCGCCCACCCAGGTTACTGCAGAGATTAAGCAAAAACACACCGAGTCTGGCATCTCGTAAACTACCAATAAATGTTCGTTCCATCAGGAAACAAATTTTACTACTCAAATTAAGGAACGCCCTAGACCAAACCCCGATCTCCAGGAACGACCTGGTGAAGAAGGCAGGGAGGGAAGACGCCCACTGAAACCAGGACCTGAAACCGTGTGTTTGTTTAGCAAACACAGGGAGCTCTTTGGGTCAAAGGCATCCCGAGGTTTATGGTGTGGCCGCCACCCCCCACTTCACTTCCGCCAGTGCCTCAGGGTGGGTGAGATCAACTCACGTGCTGTGCCAGGGCTCACCTGTCACCCTGGGAGCACGAACCCAGGGCCACCAGGAACCAAGTCAATTCGTGGAGGCAGAATCTGGGAGATGTGCGCTGGCCAGAGGGTGTCTCACACCCCAAGCAATACACACTCCGCTCTGCCCCTTCACAAAGCCCAGAAAGGGACATGTGACATTCCACTCAGCAATGACAACTCCCTTGAGCTTCCTGGGTGCTTTCCAGGGACTCTCTCCCGTAGCCCTCACTGTCACCCCACAGTGCAGCCCAGAGAGGATGAGGACTTGCCCAAGGTCACCAGGCTGAGATTCAACCCCCGCTAGCCTGGCTGTCCCATGACTTGACCCCTCACTGACCATCAGACTCATCCTAGTACTGAGGGGTTCCAGCAATGGTGGGGTAACCCCTTGTCAAGGTGTGGCCCAGGGGACCCACACACAGACCAGTGGTCCCAAAGTGGGTCCTGGGACCCGCGGCATCAGCATCTTTGGGATCTTGTCAGAAACGCGTGTTCAGGCCCACTCCAGACCTGGGCAGAATCAGACACTCCGGGGTGGGGCCCGTGCTCTGTGTGCCTGTGTCTGACACGCCCACCAGTGTGAAAACTGCCTCTGGAAAGTGTTGGAGCGATATCCTTCCTGAACCCGTGTTCCGCTGAGGCTGCTGGTGGAGAAAGTGTCCTTCCCCCCCGCTGGCTTTGTCCTCTGTGGTGGACAGAACACTGGCCCCTGCCTCTCCGTGTCCCAACCCCAGGACCTGTGCACACAACCTGTTACACTGCAGGGGACTTGAAGGAACAAGGTTCCCGACCATCTGACCTTAAGGCAAAGAATACCCTGGATTTCTGACCTCTGACTGCAAGAGAATGAATCTGTGTTTTTACATAAATTTGTGTAATTTGGCCTGGCCTGTGTGGCTCGTTGAATTGAGTATCGTCCCATGGACTTCGAGGTCCCGGTTCGATTCCCGGTCAGGGCACGTGCCTGGGTTGCAGGCTTCATTCCCAGAGAGGGGTGTGCAGGAGGCAACCGATGGATGTTTCTCTCTCACATCAAGGTTTCTCTCTCTCTCTAAAAAAAATCAATAAAAACTTACTAAAAATAAAAAAGTAAAAACATTTTTTTTTTTTCCATTTTCTGCTCAGATAGAGCGGGAGGGAGAGAGAGGAAGAGAGAGAGAGAGAGAAACATCGATGTAAAGGGACACATCGAGTGGCTGCCACCCGCACAACCAACCAGGGCCGGGGACAAACTGCAACCGAGGTACGTGCCCTTAGCGGGAACCGAACCCGGGTCTCTCTGGACCGCAGGCCGATGCTCCAACCGCTGAGCCAAACCGGCCAGGGCAGTAAAAACATTTTTTTAAAAAACTTGTATAATTTGTTACCGAAGCTAGAGAAAACTCTTACACCTGCTCTTCAACTGTCCCACTGTCTCTTACTGTCCAATTCCTGGGGAGAGGCTGGGACACCAACGCCCTTGAGTGGGGACAGGTGTGCCAACACCAAGTGGACGGGGGTGCCAGACGGAGCTGAAGACAGCGAGGGCACTTCCTCCACGTGCCCTGGGCTCACCTCAGGCTGATTTGCCTGATCACCGGGACACCACCTCCAGGGAGCCTTCCTGGACACTAACCTACCTCTGAGGAATCTAACAGGATCCAAGCGAAACCCTCGTGTCTTCCTGCGGCCGATACTCACTGGCATATTTGCTTAAATGACCACATCCCTGGACCAGACCAACCAGTGTTACAGTGCCGCCTTTGTGGGCCCCTTGTACCTGGGGTGGGGGAGGGGTGGGCATTTGCACACAGAGGGTGGCGGGTGGGCCAGCCGGGGCAGCCACACAGGCGTCTCCACAGAGAGCACGGCTGGCCAAACTGCCTTGCTGTGAGGTCACGCTTGCTCGGAGGAGAGACTGAGCCAGGAATGCTGTCTGCAAACACCCAGCTGGTGCCTGCCCAGAGCCTGCGCCCTCCCACACACACAGCGACCAGGCCCTCACCACACCTGCTGCCCACCAGCACCTTCAGCTCCGCACCCATTCTCTGAGGGGAAACTGGGTGTCCTCTGGATGGAGGATGTTTTACACCATCAAATAACGTGCACAGGGGACAGCAGCCCATCCTGGTCAGGGTTCGAGTGCGTGAACCTGCACCCATGTATGTCTGTGTGTGTGCATGTCTATGTTTTCTGTGTGTGCGCACGAATGTGTCTGTCTCTGTGTATGTGCATGCCTGTGTGTGTGACTGTGTGTGCATGTGTGTCTGTGTGTACGCACACACGTGTGTCTGTCTCTGTGTGTCTGTGACTGTGTATACGTGTGCTTCCTGGGCCCAGGGTGATGTAAAATCCCTACTGATATTCCCCACTCAGTGCTCTCGGCCAGACACAGGCCACCACCCCCCATTATGGAGGAGAAATGGGGTACCAGTGAGATGCCTGCTCTTCAGCACTGCTCTGCTTCTAGCCATGGGGCTGGGGGTTAAAGGTGGGAGGAGACTTCCCAGCCCCATGGTGCTCACGACACAGGGGTGCCAGGTCCAGTGCAGGACACACTGAGTGTCTGTGTTTGCAGAGCTTTGTGCCCTCACAACACAGGCTGTGCAGGGAGCTGCCTGCAGCAGTCTCAGCCTGGACACTGCAGTGCTTGAGGGTCAGCCGCCTCAGGTCTACAGGCAGAGGTGAGGAGCAGGAGGGGCCAGGAGGGACAGGTGGGACCTGGCAGACAGACCATGTGAGGCACTCAAGGGTCTGAAGAGTGGGGCCCGGAAAACGTTTGAGCATAAAAACTGACAAGAAAAGTCAGAAAAGTAGGGCAGTGTGTAGACTGGCAGAAGGAGAATGGAGAAGTGGAGGGAAAAGATGAGGGATGGGCTCACCTGTGTCAGCACCACACCCCACTGTGGAGAACCCAGGGCCTGCAAGAAGTCTCACCAGCAAATGAAGGCCGGGAAGGGGGGGTCTCTCCATCCCGGTGACAGCCAAGCCCTGTACCAGGTGGACAAATGCCACTGAAAGCATCCCAGGGTCACCCGATCATTGACCGAGCTGCACTTAAGATCTGAGCTTTGCCTCAGGCAATGGCTCAGCACAGCGATGCAGAGGACGCCTGGTGAGTTTCTGCCTCCATTAAAAAAAAAAAAAAAAAGCCTTTCCTATCAGGAGGCTCAATAATGGCCTCTTAAAAATAACTTCCCGTTAACAAGTTTTCTACTTTCCCACTTAAAAAAAAAAAAAAAGGACCTTCCAAGCAATTATGAAGAGGTCGTCAGACTCAATTAAAGATTAGGAAGCTGATTCTTGTCAGCCCTCCCAGGCAGCTGGGGAGAAGGGTTCCCACTGGCATATTAACATACTCTTATTCGTTCCCTCAAGGATGGTTGCGTTTTGTGGTTGATTTCTTGAAAGATATTATAAACACTTATTTATCCTGAGGACGTTTTCCTGGTTGCTGTTCACAGTGAGAAACAACCGTGCTGCTTCCCGCGCACTCAGGGACCATCACCGACCATCAAGGGCCCCACAGACGGCTGGTGCACAGCTGGTCTGGAGTCCCAGCTGGTTCGTGAGAGGTCAGCGAGGACAGAGAAGAAAGTTCAGGCAATCCATTTTCCTTCATCTCGGAAAGGCAGCAAGTCATTAACCTCATCCACCCTTATGAGACATGTTTATGAACAGAACAAAAAGATCGTATCGACTGGAAAATGAAATTGGTCTCCTTGGTGTCATGAGCTGGAACCTCCCCATAGAAGTCAACACAGGGCAGCTACGCGTGAGCTTTGAACCCCAGCCCGGATATCCAGTTGAGCTGTGAGCATAGAGACAGCAGGAAGTGCTACTGGGTCTGCAGTGACCAGGAAGAAGGGGCTGGTACGTTCCTGGGGGCTGGAGAGACGGAGAGTCCCTGACCACTGTCCTTTTGGTACAGTTTGGAGAGTACTTATAAGAAACACAGTGTGACTCCCTCACCAATAGACGGATACACTGTGCATTTCTGCTCTAACCAGCTGCTGGCAAACTACTTACCACCCTGTGCCTCAGTTTCCCCATTATTAAAATCAGAGGGTCAGCCCTGGCCAGTTTGGCTCAGCGGTTGAGTGTCGGCCTGCGGACCAGAGTGTCCCGGGTTCGCTTCCCGCTAGGGGCACATACCACAAAAATAAAATAAAATAAAATCAGAGGGTCAGACCAAGCAGGCCCCTACGGTCCTGTCCTGTGGTGCCAGGAGCCAGACCCTGGGTTATATTATCTCCAGGGGCGGAGCCGGGGCACAGGGATGGTGTTTTAATAAGGAAAATACAGCTTCAGGAGCAATGATCCTTGTGAATGTGTGAGTCCAGGGCTTCGTAGAAGAGAGGAGGTCTTGGTGCACAGGACTCGTAGCCCAACCTCTGAGGACAGTGTACCACGCGCTGAACCCAAGCCCTGGCACTTTCTGTGTGACCTTGGGTGAGCCTGAGCCTCTGCTCCCTGTAGGAATACCATGCAATACCACCTCTTATGATTTTCACCTGTCAAGTGTATCGGTGCTTTCTGTGCAAAATAAAGCCGCTCACAGGAGTCCCACAGCAGCAGGAGATGGAAGCAGGGCACAGGGATGAGGAGAAACAGAGCCATAGTTCCCTGGGTGGGGCTCAGCAGACCCCTCCATTCCTGTCCCTTCCTCCTAGCTTTGCCCTGGTCCTTCCCAGTCCTCTGTGGCGCCAGCCCTGAGGATCTCAGCAAACCCACAGCTCTCAGGACTGGAGAGGGTCCAGCTTCCCCCAACACACACAGCGGCCTTTGTGCTTTCCACAGGGTGTCAGCTTTGGGGTAATGCCATTACATACTCCAGTATTTAGGTTCCCCAGGGAAGAAAACAACTTTTTCCTTAAAGAGGCAAAAAGTCACCGAACCTCGCCATTCTGAATAGACTCCAAATACCTGTCGAGGGCTTAACTGTTGGTTCTTGTGGAGGATTAAGAGCAGAAAAACTAAGTTGTCTCGCAAGTTCTACACCTCCTCCCGGTTCTCTGCTGAAACCAGGAAATGGGTGGCAATTCGGCACAGTCCTCCTCCTCACCCTCTCACACCGAAAAAGACCTCAAGGAGGACATTGGTTCCTCTCCTGCCCAAGGCACGAGTGCCACAAGGATCCCGCCACGAGTCACTGGGAGGAAGAGACAACGGCCTGAGGGCTGCGGACCCGGAGCAGGGGGGAGGACTCCATCTCTCCATCGAAGAGACTCAGCCATCAAGTCCAACTTCCTCTCCTCTGAAGCAAACATACCCGACCGCAAGCAGCTCCCCAAAGCACCTGCCCGTGACGTGAGGAGGTGGGCTCCAGGTTGGGGGAAGGGGTCCAGGAAAGGGAGGGGCCTCCCAGATTGGGGGAGAGGAGGCTTGCAGGTAGGGCGAGGGAAGCACGGGGCGGAGCAGAGGACTTCCAGGTCCAGCAGAAGGAGCAGGCGGAGGGGCCCTCCTATCCAGCAGAGAGAGGGGTCAAGAAGGGGCGCCGGTCCGGCAGAGAGAGGGTGGGGAGAGGGGAGCGCACGCCGAGCGAGGAGGAGGGAGGGAGGCAGGGGAGGGAGTCGCAGCCTCACCCCCAGGAACGACGCCGGCCCAGCCCCTCGGCGTCCCACCCTCCGCGCCGCCAGAGCGCCCGGCCACACCCCCGCCGGCCTCACCCGCGTCGCCGGGCTCCGGCCTCGCGCTGACCGAGCCGTCCCTGCGCAGGAGGATGTCCGCCGTGTCCCGGATGCGCCGCCGGCCGCCCGGCGCGCCCCGCAGCCCGCGGCAGCCCTGGAAGCACACGGCCCACGCCTGCTCCTCGTTGATGGGCTGCTCGTACGCCTTCAGCACCTCCTCCAGGGACAGCTCCCACGGCTCGGGCCGCCCGCCGCCCGCCGCCAGCTCCCCGGCCGCCGCGTCCCCGCCGGAGCTGCCAGCCCGGGCCATGGCCGCCCCATCATCGCCCGCTGCGCGCCCAGCCGGTTTCCATAACAGCCGCGCCGGGACGGCCGACGCACCCGCCGAGCGCGGGGGGCGGATCCCGCGCCTCCGGCCGCTGCTTTGTCATCCTGGAGGCCCCGCCCCGAGCGCGCGGCGCAGGTGAGGGCGGGAGGGAGGGGCGGCCCGGGGAGGGAGGGGCCCGGGGAGGGAGGGAGGGGGCGGGAGAGGGGCAGAGTCAGGGGAAGAGGCGCGAGGAACCGGGAGCCGGGGGGCGCACGGTCGGGCCAGAGAAAGGGGCGGGGGGAACGGGAAGGCTGCGAGGTGCAGACCCGGGCCGGGGGTGGGGTTGTGAGGAAGTAGGGGAGCGCTGGGGGTTACGCAGGGCCGCGAAGAGGGGCGGCGGGCATCCAGACGCGGTTCCCCCCGCCGCGGCGCTCCCGGGAAAGCCAGACGGCGGGCACCCACGCCCGGCTCCCACAGGCGTACTGGGCCGACATCCAGCCCAAAACACACTCCAGTGTGTGCGGGGCCTGGGGTACGTCTGACGCTAGAATGCGGGAGGGAGCCAGGAGGACCAGCCCCGCCCCAACACACACGACGCCAGCTGTGGCCACAGTGAAGGGCCTGCTGCCAAGGTGACCTCTGGAGATGACTTCGGGGTGATGAGAGGAGGGAGGCCTCGGGGTATGCAGCACTTAATAAATGGCCCCTTGCCCAGCTGGTGTGGCTCAGGGGTTGAGTGTCGACCCGGCACCAGGAGGTCGCTGGTTCCATTCCCGGTCGGGGCACATGCCCAGGTTGTGGGCCAAATCCCCGTGGGGGGCGTGCAGGAGGCGGCCAGTCAATGTTCTCTCTCATCGATGTCTCCATCTCTCTCTCTCCCTTCCTCTCTCTCTAAAATCAATAAAGATAAAATAATAAATGGCCCCTTGCAGGAGGAGATGAGTCTGCGTTAAATGCTCTACTGTCTCCAGGAAAAATTGAGTCTCGGTTCACAATGGGTGAGACGCACCAGCTCTCACCCTGGCGGAGGGGTGACACCCGAGTACCCAGAAAGCTTTATCCAGGCTAATCCTGAAACCTCAGCAGCCATGGTTTTACATGGTCAGAATAACAGCCAGAATGCAATTGAAGAGTAAAGGTCAATAAGGCAGTGGGTCCCAGCCTGGATTCCCTGGGAGCACAAAATTCAGAGTCCTGGAGCCTTCTCCCAGCTGGGGTGACGCAGAATTCTGAAGTTCCCTGGTGATTCTGAACAGAATCACGCAATACCGTGATCTCACCTCATTTGAAGGAGACTTGGGGTAGGGGCCTTACTGTCAGATAATGCCATCTGGATTTTCAGTCTTCACACAAAAGGAGTTTGGCCCAAGTTGCTATATTTCGTAGCTGGGCAGCTTCCAGTTCTCTCAGCTTACACGGCCAAAATAACAGCATTAACACCTTGGAGATGGGGCAGGTGGCACATGTGCTGCCCCCTGAATAAATGGTGCGAAGAACCTGGGACTCGGGTGACTCTTCCTACCTAATCTCACACACGCACAGTTGTCAATAGAGGGAAGGGAGAAACTTCAGAGTCTGCCTTAGAACAGCAGCATTAAGGCCCCTTCAGTGTCTGCACAGTGGTTGGAGGGAAGTCCCTCCTGACTCACATCACACAAAGCCAGCATGTGTTCTGAGGAACCGTCCTCCCCCGGCCTGGTGAGCTGGCTCCTGATGGACTCATGCAACAGGTAGTTTCTGTTTCCGACTCCGTGGGAATAAAGACTTCCATCTGCGACACCTTTCGTGTGTGTGTGTGTGTGGGGGGGGGTGCTCCCACGGCAGGCCAGGCCACCTTTCCCCCTCCTGGCTGTCCGGAGCACCTCAGGCCAGACGACCCTGCCACCGTGCAGTGACTGGGCAGAGAAGGTGGAAACTACCCTGATTGGAAGCTGGTTGGGTCATAGCAAGAAGTACCTCTCCTTTGGTCCTGGGTTTTGGCACCACACATAAAAGTACCTTCCCTGTTCTTCAAAGGACCTCATATTTCCCTAACTGACGACGTTGTTTTAGGATCTTATTTGATGAGCAGGGGCCTTGTTAAGGACCTGCTGACAACTCACACCTGACTGACCCAGAGGCCCTTGAAGTCACCTGTGTAAGGGGTATAGCACCCTTTCTGATCTGGCATTGATAATTTTTTTTTTTTTTTAGGGATCCCTGAGCATGTTGCAAGACATCAGCTAGCGAGATTTAGAACACTGGGTTTTCCAGAAGTTTTGTTTTGTTTTGTTTTGTTTTAATTTTTAGAGAGAGAGGAAGGGAGAGAGAGATGGAAACATGGATGTGAGAGAGAAACATGGATTGGCTGCCTCCTGCACGCCCCCTACTGGCGACTGAGCCTACAACTGGGGCATGTGCCCTGACCAGGGACTGAAACTGGACCCCTTAGTTCATGGGATGACCCTCAGTCCACTGAGCCACACCAGCTGTGGCACTGAAAGTTTTTTTTTAATCCTCACCCGAGAATATTTTTCCATTTATCTTCAGACAGAGTGGGAGGGAGGGAGAGAGAGAGAGAGAGAGAGAGAGACATCGATGTGAGAGAGACACATCGATTGGTTGCCTCCCACAAGCCCTGACCAGGGTGGGGCACCAAACCACAACCGAGGTACATGCCCTTGACTGGAATCGAACCCACGACTCTTTGGTCCCCAGGCCGATGCTCTAACTGCTGAGCCAAACCGGCCAGGGACACTAAAAAGTCTTTAAAATTAGGTTTTACTTTCCTGTCTCTTGGTATCTGAAGGTTTGCCCCCCTGGCCATGACCACAGTGAAGAAGCAGAAGCATCAGTCAGTTCTCTAGATGCTCCTAGAAAGTGTGTCTTTTCCTCTAGGTCATTTACCCACATGTCTCCCCAGAAAGTACCACAGGGACCTAGAAATAGACCTAAGGTGAGAAGTGAGCCCGGCATTGCCCAAGGGTGGGGGTGGCAGGAGAGGGATTCCAGTCTTGTGGACTGAATTGCACTGGAAGAGAAAACTGGTCACATTGGCCCACGGCTCTGGGTTCTGGCTGGTTGGTGGGAGCTTTGAATACGATGATAAGTGCCACCCATTTGTCACCCATTCTTCCTTCGGCTGGGTCCCAAGCACTGCCCACATTTTGGGCTATTCAGACTGAGGCTCTACCATGAGGAACTCATGTGGGTGAGCTGCTGGTTGGGCTGCACGCCAAGGGGAGGGCCATGCCTACTTCTCACACGTGAGCATGGCGTACGGGGGAAATGGGTTAGTCCCCGATGACAATGGCACTAGGGTTCAAACATGGAGCTGTTTGTCTACGAAATAGGATCAGAATCACAGATACGTTCGTTCTTCCGTAACTTGAACTTGCCAGTTGGATTTTAGAAATAGACACTATTTCTGGCTGTTATGGAGGCACATGGTAGAATCGATCGAGGTCAATCATTAACTTGGCTTGGAAAGCTCTGGAGCAAGGTCATTTCTACAGTTACGGGATCCTCTGCAGCCTGCTCCTAAAACACGCGTTCTTCATACTTCACTTGTAGTGCACGAGGAAACCCCAGGGGCGAGACGTTACCCATCACTGTGGGCTTGGGGACAGAACAGAAACGTTTAGTCCTTGGAATTGGAGAATCACTTTTATTAAGTTATCACATTAGCAGAGATACTCCCCCAAATACTTAACTTATGGTGTAGGATGTTGTTCACACATACTTGCTGAGCGCTGGACACTGATGTCACATGCCTGGAAAAGACCCATGAAAACCCAAACTGGCTGCCCCCCCCCCCCCCGTTCTTAGCAGGAAACAGCACAAAGGAGCACCTTCCCTACAGGCGGGTGAGGGCTACAGGGGCTTGATGTGAAGGGAACCCCGCTGATTGTGTCTCCCATGCGCTGTGCTTGGTGTTTGCAGGGAGCTGTGATGGTCCGCATCATGGCCATGCAGTCAGAGGGCGGTGGCTCAGACTGCACTAGACCATAGATTAAAAAGCTAGAGGACCATAACTTTAGCTTCCTGGAGGCCGATAGGATACATTGGGTCTGGATCTCCAGGTGCGCCATGAAGGCGGTTACACGATTCCAGGAGGGGCGTGCAGGGCTCCAGGATCCCAGGTGGCGTAGTGAGGACACTGTGTACTGAGACAAAGGTCAGAGTGAGTCAGGTACGTGGGCACCTGGGTTTACGATCAAAGACAGTTTGAGATGGACGGCCTGTGGACGCCCCTGGACACGGCAGACGGCTTCAGCTGCACACACATCAGCTGTGCAGAGAGGAGCCAGGCTCTCTGGTCCCCTTGCTGATTCCACTTCAGATCGAAAAGCAGGTCGGCTTCCCCCGAGGGATCTGGGCACACCGAGGGCAGTGAGCAGCCAGGCCCCCGTCGCTATGACTCAGAGGCCCTGAATGCCCTCTTTGTCCGGCTCCTCTCGGCGAGGCAGGGCTCAGGGGTCCGGGAGGAAAAACTGAAATGTGAGAGGCCGTGGTTTTGTGCGTTAGGTTTATTTTGGGATAATGATAAAGGCCACGAATCCCAAGGGATGCCATAGAGCCAGGCGGTGCTCCGTGTCTGAATGGGAGCCCAGAACGGCTCCCAGGGAAGGTTTCTAGGCTGGTGCTGGAGAAGGTGAGGAGGGAGAGGAGATGCCGAGCACAGGACGGACAAGGTCCCAGAGCTGGGCCAGGATGGTGAGGGTACGCCTCAGAGGACCACGCCAGATGGGGCTGTCCTGTGTGGGGCAGGACGGGGAGAGGGGAGCTTAGGAGTTGCTCACCCTGGAGTTCCTGATCGGGAGTGGAGCAAACACTGAGGAAATGCTTTGCTTCCCATGGAAGATGTTGGAGGTGTTTACAAAGTCGGAGTTTTTGAACAGGGAACACACAGTGGTTAGGACCAAGCGGAACACTTTCCAAGTGCATTGCTCACACACAGCTGTAAGGACAGGACGTGCCCACGCCTTCCTCACGGCCGCGCTGAAGCCCGTTTACATCAGTGACATCTCTGCGGAAGTATAGAAATCACG